TGTGCAGAGTCCAGGTCATGTAGCACTTTAAAGGTCAAAATAATAAGTTTGTGTTTTATTCTAAGAGTGATGAGTAGCCTTTGGATGGTATTAACCAAAGGAGACGTGATCTGCTTAACATTTCTCCTACCGTGCGGATGGTCGGGGTTTGAAGCAGAGAGAGCAACAGCGGCAGACTAATCACTCACGAATAATGGTGCCTGAACTGGATTGTTAGTGTTGCAGACAGAGAGAAGTAAGGGATTTGTGCTAATATTTGGAGATAGAACCCTCAAAATGTACTGCTTAATTATTTTCTACAAATATCCCTAGGAATGTAAATGTCAGAGCAAAGGGTATGCACAGTTTAGAGACCTCTGTACATATTCCCAAGTGTTCACAAGGACACTTTACAGACAATTTTAACAGACAATTTTAGTTTCTACAATTTACTGGAAAGAATGCACAATATTGGCATGCTTACAAAAAAGGTATTGTAGACATTTAGAAGATTTTGAAATGACAACATACATTTAAACACAAAGTCAGCAAAGCATTTACTGGAATGAAATTATTTTATTCCTGGAAGCATACTTTAAAACTGCCTGTTATCTCATTGTAGAGTCGGAGAATCGTGGGCCTATAACCAGCTAGTGGTGGTCTCCTCACCCATCCGATGACCACGTGTCCCCTGGTGTGAATGCAGGGGACTTCCTTTGTAGCCTCATTCTACTCTTTTCTCACTAGATAACAAAGCAGTCGTTTACCCTAATTCCTAAGTTAATTAGCTTTAATTTTTATTTGTTCGGGGTTTTGTTTTTGGTTTTTTGTTTTGGTTTTTTGTTTTAGTTTGAAATAGGTGCGCAGACTTGAGAGAATTCACTCAAGGTCACGACAGAGAGACATGCGAAAGTGCTCGGATATGAACATGGTTTGTCTGACCCTGAAGACTAAGTATTTTTAAAAGCAGGTTTAAATTTTGTTTGTTTATTTACACACAGAAAAATGCACTCACTTTCATGTATAGTCCTGTAAGTATTGACACAGCCTGGAGTCCTGAACCACCACTGCGGTTCAGGTGCAGAGCAGCGCCGTTACCCAGAACGGTCCCCTCCTGCTGGGCCTTTGTTGTCACCCCCTCCCCCATCTCAGATTCCAGGGAACCGCACATCTGTTCTTTGTCCATTTTTACCTTTTACAGAATGTTATATAAAGGGAATCATGTAATATGTTGCCATTTGGATCTGGCTTTTCTTACTTAACTATGTTTGAAAACTGCTGATGGTGTTACATATATCCATTCTTTGTTTTTGGTGAGTAGTATTCGGGTTCATGGATGTAACACCATTTATCTCTATCTGCTGAAGAACATTTCATCCATCTGGCTTCCAGTGTTGGTAATTAATGTAGAGCTGCTATAAACACCTGCACACAGAAGTAGGGTCACTAGCTCATGTGTCAAATGCATGTTAACTTTTTAAGAAACTGTTTGAGAACTTTTTAAGAAACTTGGTCAAACTGTTTTTCAGTGGTTAATACTTTGTATTCCCACCTGCAAAGTGTAAGAGTTTCCATTGTTCTGCATCTTCACCAGATCCTGGAATTGTCAGTGGTTTTGGCTTTTAATGCTTTCATTTTAGCTTTTCTAAGGCACGTACATAGGGCCTCGTTTTAGTTTTTAATTTGATTTTCCATAATGACCTATGATGTGGTCCTTCATTTCAAGTGCTTATTTGCCATCTGTATATCTTGAATTGTTAAGCATCTGTTCACATCTTTTGCCTATTTTTATGGGGTTGTTTGTTGAGATTTGAGAATTCCTTATACATTTATATAGCCTGAATGCTATCCTTTGTCAGATACATGATTTGTTAACTGTGGTTTGTCTTTTCAGAGTTTTAGTTTTACATTTTATATTTAAGTCTGTGGCTCATTTTAAGTTAATTTTTATGTAAGGTGGAAAGTATGGGTTGAGGTTCTTATTTATTTATTTGTTTGTTTACTTATTTGTTTAGACATGGGTGTGTTTCAGTTGATCCAGACTAGTTTTTAAGATTATGCTTTCTCTAGTATTACATTTGTGCGTTTGTCAGAAATTACTGAGCTTATTTGTGTGCACTTATAATTAGATTCTTCAATTTTATTGACCTATTTTTCTATGAACACCACAGTACCCTGCTGTCTTAGTTCAGCTTAACAACATCTGAAGCCCAGTAGTGTGAATCCTCCAACTTTGTTCTCCGCTTTTAAAATTGTTTTGCTATGTCGTTGATTCCTATATAGATTTTTAGAATCAGCTTGTGCCTTTCTATAAAAATTTCTGCTTGGATGTTGATGGTGATGGAAGTTTATTTATAGACAAATTTGGGGAGAATCAACATCTTAACAATTCTCACTTTTTAAACCAGGAACATAGTCTGTCTCTCTATTTATTTATGCTTGGCTGTGTGTGTGGTGTGTGTGTCCGTGTGTGTCTGTGTGGCACTTTAAGGAGACATAGGAAGGAGAAAATCGTAAAACGAACAAGAAATTCACCGTTGAAATGGTCTCCTTCACATTTTGATTTCCTCCCCAGTCTGCTACTACTTTTTACTTTGCATAGTCCTTAGGTGGTCATTGGTTTTGTTTTTTTTTGTTTGTTTGTTTTTAAATTCTTTCTATGATGCTTAGTTGTAATTAGTGGGAGAGACAGCCTGTAGTGCATTTATTCCATCTTGTTCAGAGTTGAAGTCAACTGGTTTCAATGGTGACTGCCTCAGCCCACCATGCGTGGTGATGCTATGGATTGTAGAGCTTCCAAAAGTGGTTTATATGTGTTTTTTGACTGTGAATAAACCAACTGTGAGAGGACTTTCATAATGCAGGGTAGTTACATGTGAAGGATATGCGTTCTATATGAAAATTCAAATGATTTACCTTGGATAAATGCAGGCCTAGGAAAAAGAGTGAAATACAAAACCACTCTTTTTAAGTCCAATAACATTTATTTAGCTTCAGGAGTTTCTTCCATTCTTGACATTGCCATGATGTGTCACTTAAAAATATGAAATGGAAATCGATGTGACAGTTGGCAGAATCACCAGGCTTTGTGGGGGAGCATTCTTGAGCGGCCATTGCCTTGCCGACCAATAACAGGAGTTGGCACGTGACCCAGAATTTCACAATAGTACCGTGTATGTAGCCCAAAAGAAAATACAATTTCTGTGTACAAACAGCTGACCGATAAACTCCAGCAGCATCCACACAATATTATGTCCTCTATACCTTAAGACAGCTTTTATCAAAGAAGTTCAGGTAGCATTATCTTCTAATAGAGATAATAAACAAATTTTCCATTTTATCTTCAAGAATTGGAGATCACTAAATGTGTTCTCCCAAGCACACTATAAATTGCTTATTTTATTCTTCTACTTTTTAGGCGATTGGTAACAAAGACACATGCAAAAAATGTATCTGATTTCTGATTTCTAGTTTTATAATTCATACATCTTCAAAGATGCTTTATTATAAATCAAGATGATAGTGTAGAGACACTCAGACTAATTCTTTACTAAAGCAGAGTGTTGCAAACAGTCCAGAGCACTGACTGAAGTGACCCCTAAAATAGTTTACCTACAATTATTTGAAATACCTTAAGGATATCCATGTATCTTTCGTTAGAATAGAAGTTTGAGTCTACAACTGCTCATTCAGCAGTAGGGTAGGGCAGAATTCGCAATGAGGTCATACTTTGTATATTTGTGAAACCAGGGAAAATAGTAACATCCTTTGCAGCAGGGGAATTATACCTTTCCTATGAAAACTGTTCAGTGTTTTTAAGTAGATATGTTAGAAGCCATATTTAAAAATTACATAACTGAATGAAGATGTATAAAATCTCAACAAGAGTTGGAAACACTCAGGAACTTCATGGTGATTGAGGTGTATATTTTATCTACAAAAATATGCAGATATGTGCAGGAGTGTAATAGGCATGCTTTATGGGACATCCATTCATTCATTCTATCTGTTCCCCTGGACAACACTAGACTCTCAGTTTGCAGAGATGACTAATACGCGATTCTAGGTTTTTTTCAAGCCCTCAAGTAGGGCATTATGAGCTGATTTTAAAATAGAATGGTAATTACCCCTTAAAATGAACATTTGACCCTTCCATTTAGTCATCCAACTAAGGAGGAGAGAGCAATTACATTGGACCCATAGGCTTTTAATGGATAAAACATGTCACAATATATATGTAAATGCTTTATTCATAATATATAGCTTTTGTAGTTTACAAATTGCATTTGAGTTATACATTTAATTGTCATAATAGTCTTCTGGTTAGACCAGGCTTGTACTAAAAGCCCCATTTATATACTTAATGGACCTGAAGTGAAAAGAAGTTGCATAAACTTACACTGTAGACACCACTGCAAGATGGGTGCTGGGACCCCCTGGCCAGCGTTCCCTCTATGGCCGCTCGCTGTTGCTCAGAAGTGAAGGGCATGGTCTGCGGATTCGTAGTCCAGTCCCAGGATGGAAATTCCCCCGAAACACTGATTGAGATCATGTGGTTTACATCTGGGAAGCTCCCTACGTTTCAGTGGAAGTGTCACCTCCCCTGGGAAACTCACCTTCATGAGACCAGTTAGGATTTTCATTGAAAAACTTACAACTACTGCTGTAATAAAGTAGCCACTTTTTACAGTTGAATTGTCTCACCAAAAAAAATACAATAAAGACAATCCTGTGTCTCCCACTTTGGGAAAGACAAATTAATTACATAGTAATTACTCCTTATCATTTTTCTTTCTGGATAAAACATATAATAAATTTCACGACTCCACTTCTGTATTTATAGCCCCTACCGGCATGCCTGACACATTGTAGGTGCTCAGTAAGAAGGGGTTTAGTAAATTAATATTTGCCTATATGTCAATAGTATATGTTTATAGTGTATGGCTGTATATATAATCTGTTCTTATGGATGTATAAATGTTTAGGTGCAAAATAACCATTGTTTCTTCTCACTTTCATAGGATTATACATTGACGATGTATTTTCAACAAGCCTGGAGAGATAAGAGGCTGTCGTATAATGTGATACCTTTAAACTTAACTCTGGACAACAGAGTAGCAGACCAGCTCTGGGTGCCCGATACCTACTTCCTGAATGATAAGAAGTCATTTGTGCACGGAGTGACCGTCAAGAACCGGATGATCCGCCTGCATCCCGATGGGACTGTCCTCTATGGCCTCAGGTCTGTCATGTCCATTTCAGTCTTGAACTTTCCCTGAACAAAATTGTTATTGCTTTTTACTGGAGGGGAACCTGTTGTGTTGTTTTCCTTACTCCTCCCACAAATGTACCGATAAGCAGTTCCGCCTCCAGTCCTGAAGATGTCTGGTAGTTCAGAGGAGCAGGCTTACAACGGAGCGTAACCCCAGCTAAGGCTAAGTCTTTCCTGAATTATATCAGCTGCTGGTCCTAAAGCTGCTTTCTTTAGGGAGCAGAGATAAAGAATACCAAAATAGCTGAGACATAAGGTTTCCTTAGAGTGGAAAAAAAATGACGAATGCCTAATGCTTATATGAATGTGGCAGATGTGCTCCTTCATCAGCTGCTCCTCCGCTGGCGAACCGGGTCCTCTGAAGCCTTCCCGGACCTTCTGCGCTTCCACAGGGCAGTCAGACTCTGGAGGAGAGCCGTGATCTTGGATTTATTGTGGATGAATTCACACTATTAAATGTGCCTTCATGTCAGAAAAGAATGGTGCAGTTCTGCTGTTTGGATGAGGACAGATTGTAAAATAAGGCAGTTTCTTCTTTTAAAGTTTGTTTTGTATTTGAAGAAATAGTTTCTTTAAAAGATGAAGATGAAAGATATCTTACTCTGAAAATATTACAATATAAAGAATTCCTCTGCATTATGGGAGAAGAGACTCTAAATTCCACAATGTTTAATGTCTCTGATCTATTCTGTTTTATATAAATATGTAGTTACCTTACCATAAAAATGATGATTATAAAAATAGTATTATTTAGTGAGCACTTGTTAGAGTTCAACTAAGTACTTTACATACATTAATATACAGGGTGGGACAAAAGTGGGTTTATGTTGTTTGTATGGAAAATAATGCAATAGTTAAATAATTATAACAAGAATAAATTGTGTTTCATGTACTGACGACTGTGAACCTACTTTTGCCCCACCTGTAATTAATCCTCACAACAACCTCATAAGTTAGATGCTGTTATGATCTTAATTTTCAAATGAAAAAACTGAGGCAGATGCCACTTGCCTAAGATCACAAAGAAAGCAAACTGTGAGGATGAGATACGAACACTTCCAAGTTCAGAGCCAGAGCACTGAACCAGCACACTGGGGTGCTTTCGCTCACATGTTTTCTTATCCGGAATGTCTCCCTTGCATTATCTACTGTATTCAGCATGTTTGATGGGGGCATTGTCTTAGGTCCTTTTAAGCCAACTTCTTTGTCATATTTGTAGAGAAAATGATCTTTGACTGTCAAGGGAGGTAAGAAAGGATAGAGAGACAGAGAGCATGTTATATTGTGTGTTAGCCACTGAAGGTGAAAAGATGAATTGGAAATTTATAAATGTCCCATTTTAGCTTTTACCTACACTCTAAATAAACTCAGTAAAGGTTGTCAATAAATTCTGAATGCACAGATGCAAAGTTGAATGAATGGGAAATCAATAGTTACAATGTCTTTGGAATTGAGAGGGAAAAGAGAGGACCAATATAAATGATAAACATGTAGTATATTGTTAAGCCGATACATTAAGGTGCATGGGACATGATAGCTAAACTCAAACTCACAGTAGGGAATCGTCACTCCCCTGCCCACTTCCAACAAGGGCTGTTGACAAAATATGCAGGTTCCTGAGCACACCTGACATGCATAGAATTAAGACAGAGAAGTCTCTGAATTGCAATTGTTTTATCATTTGTATTGTTAATTCTGAATTTGAAATTGAGAAGGTTTCTCAGGCTATTTATAAACGTCTCATTCTAGTTTTCACTGCTAAATAGAACAGTGTGTTTCATGGCCGGAAATTTAATGCAGACCCCACATTTCTTCCACCACTCCAGGAGAATCATTCGTGGTATAAAAAAGGAATCCAGTTGCGGTTGCCATTGCCGTGGTTGATGTAGCCCCGCTCGGCCTCTCATCTGTTTACCCACCTCCCACTGCAGCCAGTCTCTGTTGCTGATGGTCTGGTTAGAAATCGATCTTAGGTCTCTGCTCAGTAGTGGCTGCATTGAAACGACACTTAGAAAAGTCATAGTATTAATATCAGTACTAGTACGAATTGAAGGGCTTAGCATGTACTTGTTACTGTGCCAGAACTTCCATTATCTTATTTAATATTAACTTTAAGTCTACAAAGTAGGCACTATTGTTTTATCCACCTAACACGAAGGAACTGAGGAATTTGTGTCCGAAGTTTCAGAATTACACACAGAAAAGCAGAGTGTTGTATTTGAATACAAAGATGGTCTTCATCACTGTTCTGCCCTGCTCCTTAGATACTGGCAAGATGGGGACAGAGTAGTAGGAATCACGTGAGAACACATAGAGGGGGAAAAAGAAGATGAAGAAAAGATAGTTGGAAAGAGCTTTCATTAGATCCATAGATACAGACTTGTTCTTGACTGATCAAATAAGGCCCTAAAGAGCAATAGGCCTAAGGCCTCTATAGGACATGCAGCTTAGGTCTCAGGTTCACACCTGTCCCAGTTTACCAGGGGGTAATGTTTTCTACATAGAACTCGGGCACAGGCAAGATCATCGTAAAGAACTTGATAGTGACCAAGGTCATCAGTCTGAATTGAAAGGCATCTGCGAAGGCCTAGACATGGAAGGCTGGGATAGGAGAGACTTCAAATGTCAAGGCACTGACCAAGACATCAGGTAGAACAAGATCTCTGAGATGAACATCAGGAATAAATGGATGAGTTCAAGGCACAGCAAAAGACAACTTCCCTCCCACTGAGATCCATGAAGATTGACTGATGGGAGTAGGCGGTGGGCGGGGAGGTCATTCAGAGGATCTGAGTGAGCTGCTTTGGAGGGTTTTTCTTCAGTGACATTTTCAGGCATTAAAACATAATGAAGATACAGAAAGTAGTATGTAAAATATTAATCCTTGTTGAATCTCATTGTGGATATGTAGGTGTTCATTGTATCTTCAGCTTGTCTCTATGTTTGAAAATTTTCATGGTAAAATTTGGAAAAGAAAAAATGACACGTTTAAAAATTTTTATGATAAAATTTGGAAAAGAAAAAATAGTGTGTTTTAGAGCCCTAGGAATCTCTGATTTTATTATACAGGGTCCACCACAAAATAACACCCCCTCTTCTATTACAAAATCTTTATTACAAAATCATAAGCGTGTAAATCTGTAACATAACAATATCACACTGAAACACACCATATGACATTTTAGGTGAAATCTTCAAATTAACACTATAAATTATTACACCCCTATTATTACCCTACCAACCACACTCACGTAGGCATTACTTCTGCTAGACCCTGTATATTATAGAAAAGATCACTGACAGTTTAAAAGTCTGCGGCCAAGGGATGCTATTGCTGCTCTCTTGGAGGCAGAGAATCATCTGTACATGACACCTACGTTCAGTAGATGTGTCTGAAGATGAGGACATCTCATCTCAGAGGACATGTGGCTCAGTGGGTGGGGTCCGAGAACACAGACCACCAGGCTAGGCCATAACCCGGGAAGGAGTGGCGACAGCTCTTCAGTTAGCACCTTCATAACGTCCTTGTGGAAGTGCCCTCCTGCAAGGCTTTGGCCTGTTTCCTCTGTCTCGGCAGGAACTGAGTCTACTCACATTGATAAATTGTGTTCCGATGGCAAGAGCGGTCAGGATAGTGCCCAGCTACTCTGCCAGCTCACATTTAAGGTGCAGTGGCCTTGGGGAGTTCAGGAAGTAGAGACAGAGATTTAAAAGTGTGGAAGATATTTTAGATGTTATTGTTACAAGCAAGGTTTTAACAGGTTTTGTTCTGACTGGATTTTTGTTTCCCCATCACCCAAAAACCTGTTAGCAGCTCAGTTATTTCATTGCTCTTCAGGTTCATGATCATTTCAGAGGTGCCAGGATCAGAGTTCTAGTGCTATGCTGAGACATAAATGAGCATGACTGGGCGGTGAACCGACTTTCTTAATACAATATTGTGATAATGGAACTTGGTTTTACTGCGGACTTTCGTCACTGACTTCTTGTTGAACCTTGAGAGTCTTCTCCAGGTTTTAAAGTCCTCACATTCAAGGGGGGACCCAAAAAACCCCAGAATTATCTTCTGGGGGACTCACCCCTAATAATACAGGCTTCCCTCACTAGGTGTACTATCTGTATCAGTGTACCAGCCGGCATTGTTATGAGAGGCCCTGTCTGGCTTCAGTCAAATTATTTTGAAGATTCAACGCATTTGCCCACTTCATGCCATGATAGGTGACTTATGAGCGTACCTGCCTGCACCGCGCTGAGTGTTCAGCAGTTTTTGACCAAAAATACCATGACCCCTGGCCCCAGGCTCCCTATTCAACCTGATCTCTCCCTGAGCGACTTCTTTTTGTTTCCCAGGATGAAAAAAGCCTTCAAAGGGAACATAAAATGTCAGAAGCACTTAAAGGCACCAAAATCTGCAAGTTCAAAAACTGATTTGAGCAGTGGAAAAAAGGTCTCAGTAGACATATTGCATCAAATGGAGAGACCTTTGAAGATGACTGAAGTTTAAACATTTAATTTTTTATAAATAAATATGTATTTTGTATAAATAAATTCTGTTTTGGGGGCTCCTACCTTGTAAAAGGGAATGAATTAGACACTATCCATTTTTTTACAATCCAGTCATCCTCTGAATCCATGATCAATGAATGTAAAATAATTTATAAGCAAACACCAGACTACAAAATGAAATTATATCTTTAGAGTATCACAGAACATAGTGGATAGTAAGTGTTCAATGTCACTATTTAATAAATAAATGAAAGCTGGGGATATTTGATAAATACATAGACAAATGAGACAGGGAAAGCTTTAACTATCAAAGTAGTAGTTTTATATTACAGAATTTTTCCCAGTAATTTTTTTCATGATTCTGTGAAGTAAAACACTACATTTGTTTTCTTGAATGAGAACAGTGGGAGTGAGCAAGTGAGTTGGCCGGACGGGAAGGGTTTAGGCCCTGCACGTCAAGGGTA